GTACAAGATATAAATCAATGGCAATATTTTTATACAAAAAAAAAAAACGAAAAACAGACACGATAATATGCAAACAAAAAAACAGACTCCGGATTTGGACAGGTATATTAAGTATACATGTATAAGCAGCAAATTGAATGTATTAGCTGGATCCAAACCCATTTCTAAGGTGGAACGGGATTTACGGCACAAAATAAAATGGTAAGCAAGTAGATTTTGTCTTATTTGGTAGGAATAAAACTTTCACATTTTATGAAACAAAATATCGTACTTGCTCTGAAATATGTATTTCAAAAAGAAAAATATATAAAATTACTGAGGGATTCTAGTTGAAATATTACCTCTACCAATAAACACCCTAGAAGTGTCATCCATTGGTAGTAGTTTGACCTTTCACACTGGTAAAAATGAAAGCTAACACCATCCAGAAATGAAGTATTGAAATTAAAACATTCCTCATCTCCCTACTTTATATCTAACACCACTCTCAACATGCCATAATTGTCCTGATTTACAATAAAAAGAAAATATTATCCTCCACACACATGGTAATGAAAATACAGAGATATAATTTACAATTCAGTTGAAATAATAATTACAAATGTAGCATAAAAAAAGTTATAAGGTTCACGTATTGACTTTTTTTTTTAAAAAGCAACTTGTCCGTTGCTTAAAGGTACACGTGGTGATGAAAACATTTCGATCTTCTCTGTCTTTATCCAATTAGCGTTTGTCATGTCGTCATAATTCTTTTCGTATTGCTCGGGATTTAACATTGCACTTAGCAATGAATTAAAACGAAAGTAGATTTCCGGTAAAAATAATGAATAGAAGCATGTTTTTAGCTTCTTTTTGAGAGCTGAGGAATTTTGATGAAAACAAGACCCAGCTAGTGTTATTACAATGACGTGTTTGCGTGCCTTAACGAGAACAGGGTTAGAACTCGTCAGAACTAAATCAGTTGGAACATGAAAGGCCAAATCACTTGTATGAAGTCAGCATCGGAAACCAAAAGTTCTAATACATGTAATAAGGGACAAGTAAACCCAGATTTATGTAAATAAAATTAAACGAAAAAATTGCTTATTTTTAGTTCAAGGGTAAATATAATATATATTTCATTTTAGTTGATGAGTGAACACACATATTAGTTTTAATGATTCTTTAATGTAAATGTAGCTTGCCACTTTCTTTGTTTTAGGTCTATTGTTCTGTATGCCTAAGATACATGTAGTTATCTTATTGGCAAGTGCAGTACACCATTGTCATTTATTTATTTGATGTTGCTGGATTATTTGTAAATTGAATGTGGTCTCAGTCATTAAACCACCCTATAAACCTGGTCAAGGATCTTAAATCTGGGAGCGGTCTGGAAAACAGGTGATAGGGACTGGCAACACTATCTTACATCAGTTAATGTTCACAAATATTACATAAAAATCTGAAAACTATTAGACACACCTACCCCAAATAAACTGAATGGTGATCATATGTGCTCTAGAACGGTAATTAGGTACTGTCCTATTAGTGCCACCAGTAAATATAAGTTCTGGAAAATACAAAACTCTGTGTTGAAACTGGACACAGATTAAACATACAATTGCTCGTCAGTGTATAAACCAAATAAAATAGCTATCACATTTAAAAGAAACATATTTTCTTGTGACTGTGCACCACTTATTGCGGACCTTTTTTTGTATTGCTATGAGTTACAATTTATGACAAAAATCAGCAAAGACCCATCGAAACAACATCTGATACACAAATTCAATAATACTTTTAGATATTTGGATGATATTTTGGCTCTCAATAATGACGACTTCAGTATGTATACTAAAGAAATTTATCCTGTTGAACTTAACTTTAAATAAAGCTAATACTAACAATGACCACTGCCCTTTCCTCGATCTTGATATCTATATCATTAACGGAAAGCTTAATACTAAAATATATGATAAAAGAGATGATTTTTCATTTCCTATTGTAAATTATCCATTTTTATACGCCCGTTTACGGGACATATTATGGTATACCGTTGTACGTCCCTCTGTCCGTCCATCTGTCCGTCCGTCCGTCGTCAACATGTCGGACATTAACTCAAAAACGCTTTAACCAATTTGCTTAAAACTTTGGTGAATTGTTTATATCTATTGACATGAGCTCCCTTTCGTTTTTTATAAATTTTAGATTTTACTTTTCCGAGTTATGGGGTTTTATTCATTAAAAAAAGGGGGATTTTACAGTTTTCGGACAATAACTCAAGATTGCTTTCACCAACTTGCAAGAAATTTTGGTTAATTGTTTATATCTATTGACATGAGCTCCCTTTGGCTTTTTATAAATTTTAGATTTTACGTTTCCGAGTTATGGGGTTTTATTCATAAAAAAAAAGGGGGATTTTACAGTTTTCGGACAATAACTCAAAAATGCTTTCAGCAGTTCTCATGAAACTTTGATGAATTGTTGATATCTATTGATGTAAGCTCCCTTTAGAATTTTATAAATTTTTGATTTTACATTTCCGAATTATGGGGTTTATTCATTAAAAAAGGGGGGATTTTCCAGTTTTCAGACAAAAACTCAAAAATGCTTTCAGCAATTCATATGAAACTTTGGTAAACTGTTTATATCTATTGATGTAAGCTCCCTTTAGAATTTTATAAATTTTATTTGTTTATAGTCTGACAACAGATTTACTAAGTATTGCGCATAAGCACAGTGTATTGCACAACAGCAAGAAATCTTTAATTGAATATAAATTCAATTCATATAACCAACTTCAAGTTCTTTGACTACATTTATTCAGAAACCTATAATAGATGTATGTCAAATATTTAATTACAATCCAAATTCAAACCTGTTTCAAGCTTGAATATTGTGTCCATTTTTGCCCCAACTGTTCAGGGTTAGACCTCTGCGGGCGTATCCAGCTGCGCTCAGCGAAGCAGTTTATAAGATGGTGACGTTCCCTTGTCACCATCTTACGGTGTTTATATATCTCAACTTGTTCGATTCGCTCGTGCATGTAACAATGTTTTAGATTTTAACGAGAGAAATTTATGTATTACTGAAAAATTATTACACCAGGGTTTTCGATATCACAAACTAGTCAAAAACATTTACTAAATTTTATCATCGGTATAAGGACATCATTCGTAAATATAGCTCAACATGCAGACTTCTTATACGTTCAGGTATTTCACATCCAATTTTTTATGGAAATATTCTTCATAAAGCACAAAAATGTCAGTATTCACCTCTGAAGCTAACAAAACCTTTAAATAGACTTATTAAGAAGGGATATAGTTACGATACTGTTGTCAGGTCATAAAAGATTGCATATTTTGGCGTTAATATTGATTCACTTATAGGGTCTTTGCATCGGAACTAAACACATTTATTTAAAAACCAGTTGTTGGCATGACACGGGTTATGTTCTTCTCATATATGTTATGATGGTATGATACTAAACCCCTAACGGGAAGGATTGTGCCTGATATTCATATGATGAAGACATAATCTTTCAATCAGTTTAATTGAAGTCTGGAGCTGGCATGTCAGTTAACTGCTAGTAGTCTGTTGTTATTTATGTATTATTGTCATTTTGTTTATTTTCTTTGGTTACATCTTCTGACATCAGACTCGGACTTCTCTTGAACTGAATTTTAATGTGTGTATTGTTATGCGTTTACTTTTCTACATTGGCTAGAGGTATAGGGGGAGGGTTGAGATCTCATAAACATGTTTAACCCCGCCGCATTTTTGCGCCTGTCCCAAGTCAGGAGCCTCTAGCCTTTGTTAGTCTTGTATTATTTTTAATTTTAGTTTCTTGTGTACAATTTGGAGTTTAGTATGGCGTTCATTATCACTGAACTAGTATATATATTTGTTTAGGGGCCAGCTGAAGGACGCCTCCGTGTGCGGGAATTTCTCGCTGCATTGAAGACCTGTTGGTGACCTTCTGCTGTTGTCTGTTCTATGGTCGGGTTGTTGTCTCTTTGACACATTCCCCATTTCCATTCTCAATTTTATATTTTATTAATAAGATGGATGAACATCTCTGTTTGATAGAATGTGATTATAACATGCCTAAATTCAATATTGTGTTGAAACAAGGAATTATTTGGATCTGGAATAATTTTGAATTCTGGAAAATTGATGAGTAATTTATGATGAAAACTAACCCAACTAAATAGGGTTAGCCATGCGCGCATGGCTAAGGGGGGTTAGTTAGTTCATACTGAAATGATAGTGAAATTAAAATTAACCTTAGCCATGGGTGCATGGCTAACCCTATTTAGTTGGGTTAGTTTTCATCATACATTTCTAATCAATTTTCCAGAATTCATAATTATTCCAGATTCAAATAATTCCTTGTTTTGATGAAAAAACCCAATACGTTAAGGAGCTTGGTGGTGAAAAACCCAATTTGATATTTGCTTGAGGGGTGAATTGGAATTAATAATGCAATTGAAAAACTATTTCACTCAATTAAATAAAAAATGGTGGGTAAAAACCTGTTAGTGAATTCTTATCTGGAGCTCTGACTTGGACAGAAGCTACTTACAATCAAAAGATAGTATAGTATACATGGTATAGAGAGGAATATTTTTATTAATTTTTTTCCTCATTTTTGTTGAGCCTGCGATTAACAGCAAAAGTAGGTGAGACACTGGATTCCGCGGAACCCTTACGAATTTTATATATATAGAGTAACATAATATATTTATATAACAATAGCAAATTTTTGCCAGGTGAGTAATTGAGGCTTTGGGAGCCTCAAGTTAGACCTCTGATTCCCAGCAAAGAAGTCACTAGACATGCCAAAGAAATAAATTTTAGCTTATTGTTTGAAACCCAGTAACAGTACAAATCCAGTTTTAATTGCATATATGTACTTTTGTACCACAGAAGTGTTTATGCTCTTTGATTTGCGTTGCTGGTATTCATCTTGTTCATACATCAAATTACCGATTATTATTTATTTATTTTTCAGGTTTCTTTCGAATAGCATTCTGTTTGTTGATTCAAGACTACCAAACACATTGTCCTTCATTCCCCCAATGGAAAATCCGTGGTTATGGTTTTTGCAACAATTCATCGATATATACGTGTTTACATAATACCAATGAAGACAAGTTCATCGAAAATTGTGGATTTGGTTTAAATTTACTAGAACCAGGTACTTTAAAGTCATATGAAACGAGTTTCTTGTAATTTTGATGTAATTGAAATTATTTAACCATTGCATGCATATATATATCATGTATATATACTATAAAACTAAGTGCACGTTTTTTTATATTTATTATGAATCTGTAACGTATTATAGACAAAAAATATTTCATTCAGTGATTGTTGATCGCTAGCTAATTAACTTCGAGATTGTTGCCGAAGCTTACAGAATCGTGACATTGATAAACAATAAACACAGAGCACTTTGAAAATGTGACAAATGAGTGAATTGAAAGAGCCCTGACATTTGTTAATTAAACTTTTGCTTGACCATGTTGACAGTTGTTCAATGATTTGTTGTATTAAATTTGTACTTTCCAAAGCACGTTTGTTTACATTCTTTCATCACAGTTTTCCCCTCGCACTTGCGCTGTGCAGTGGCCATAGTTATAACGAGAAGTCTTGTAGTTAAGGTCACTGCATACGAGAAAAAATCGGCGAATTAGTGTCTGGGAAGACAATAATTGAATATTGGTACATTTATTAAGATTTCCATAATATAACACATTGATAAAGGATTTTCTTTTAACAGAAAGTTCACGTTCACTTGTTTTATTGTAAAACTTAGCCTTTCAAGTATAAAAAACATATTCAACTTTAAATTTGAAGTTTCATATGACTTTAATACATATATCTCATTGTGTGTTTTTACTTAAATTTTTTTTTAGATTTATTCTGTATACAAAAATAATGTTTTATGTTTTTTAAAAAGTAAATTTGAATGTTGCATTTTGTAAAGTTTTAAATAAATTTAGTTTAGTTTTGTACTGGCCCTTCTTTAAAGACGAGACGTATTGTGCTCCAGACCCTGTCAGCAACATCTTGATCTTGATAGGAATACGGTGATACATCCAAGGATATTAATACACGCGTGCGTCAAGTAATTTACTTAAGTGGGGCCCCCTTACAATTTCACTAAAGGTTTTAGCTGGTTCTTCTGCTGTCTGAATTTTGATGAAAATATCCAGTGGTAGTTGGTTCCAGTCTAATGGTATTTGGTATGAAACTGTATTTTAATGTGTCTGATTTTGTTTGAAGTCTGAGGAAATGTTGGCTATGCATGTTCTTGGTTGTTCTTGATGGTTTTTTCAGTTGGTCAGATGGTAAGTTTGCTTGACTGTGTATACTTTTGCAGAACAGGATCAGTCTGTTTTGTGTACAGCGGTCTTTTAGTGATGGTAATTGCAGTTGGTCTAAAATTGCTGTCATACTTCCTGGTTCGTAGTTGTAGTTTGATGTTATGAACCTAGCCGCTCTTTTCTGTACATTTTCCAGGTGGTCTTGAAGATATATTTGATGTGGGTCCCAGGCAGTGCTTGCATATTCTACGACAGGTCGTATCAGTCCTTTATATGCCTGGAGTTTAACTTCAAGTGCAGAGATCTTGTAGATAGGAAGGCGTTAATCCAATTCAAGATGTTTTTTTGGCACGCCTTAGTGAAGTTTACTTTTTAATAGCTCGTGCGGTACGGTGTCAAATGCTTTTTCAAAATCCAAAATAAATATATCCGTTTGTTTCCTGTTGTCAATGGCAGTTGCCCAGTCGTGTATTACGTTAATTAGTTGGGTTTCACAGCTGTGTCTTCTTCTAAATGCATGTTGTCGGCTATTTAGGATATTGTTATCTTCAAAGTGCAGCATTAGGTTCGAGCAAATGACATGTTCTAGTAGTTTGCAAGTGATACATGTTAGAGATACTGGTCTGTAATTACTTGGGATGGTTCTGTCGTTCTTCTTGAATAACGGGCATATATTAGCATTTTTCCATTCATCTGGGATGGTTCCTCTGTTAATGCATTGTTGGAAAAAGTGAGCCATTACCTCTGATATGTTAAGTGCCAATTTTTTCAGTACTCTGAGGTGTATACACAGGCACTTGTCTCAGAAAAAAAAATTTCCTCTATTAAGGTATATAGGAAATTTTTTTTCTGAGACAAGTGCCTGTGGATGTATACCATCAGGGCCCATCGCTTTTGACGCATAAAGTTTTCAAGTATGTTCTCCACTCCTTTGGTTGTTACTGTGATGTTTCTCATTTTGTCTACATGAGGAGTTTGGTATGGAATGGATTCATATTCTGTCTCGGTATAAACGCTTGTAAATTGCGTATTCTATGCCTACGCTTTCTGTTGGTCTGTATCGGCGGTCTAATTATCTTGGGTCTTAAGTGGTGGTATTCCCTGTTTGTCTGCCTTCTGGTTGTTAATATATTTCCAAAATGGTTTAGAATCCTGTTTTATATCGCCTATTAAGTTGTTGATGTAGTTGTTTTGGGCTATTTCAGTTTCCTTGTTAATTGTGCGTCTTAATAATTCTTGCCATTTTCGTTTTATTCTCATGCTGTTGTTTTTTTTTAAAGTTGGCGTGTTTTCTGTTCTTTCGTTTTATCATGGCCTTGATATTATTATTTATCCATGGTATTGACTATTTTCCTTTTGATGTTTTAGTTGGTACATTGATTTTTGTGGTTCCTAGTACAAATGTATAAATTCTTTTATCATGTTCCAGTTATTTTGATGGCCATTGAAGTATCTGTCTCTGGTGAAGTCCCTTGAGTCTTCTCTCATCTGATTGTAGTTTCCCTTTGAGTTTTGGAAGAAGGTCCTTTCTGGTCTTATTTTTCTTGGAATTGTGCATCTCAGAGTACCAACACTTGGAATAGTGGCCATGGCCTATGGGTAGCCAAGCCCCATGTATATAGCATATAGCAAACATAGCTTGGTCTCTTGACATAGGTCATGAATTATTGTTTTTGTAGTTTCAACTAATTTGGATTCTGTTGATAGGAACCTTGGCTGACAAAATACATTTATTGTAAGGGAGCTACCATTTGATATTTTGAGGGGTGGGGATTAATGTAGAAAAAAAGGCAGGATAGGAGTTTTGAGTGAAAAAAAAAGGCAGGATGAGCAACTTGGCAAAAAACAAAATGCAGGATGACAATATATGTAAAAAAAGTCAGGATAAACTAATAAAGAATAAATGTGGATAGTGTCCACATGTGGACACAGATGATGCCCCCGCTTGCATATCATATAGTTATAAAGGGACATAATTGAAGAACGGTAAAAGTGACACTACCCAAATTTGAACTTGATCTGAGCTTTGTGGTAATAAGCAATGTGTGTAAGTCTTGTAACATTTGGTTGAGACTAACTTAAGTAGAGAACAGAAACTAAAAATTCAGCAATTTTTCTATTTGTAAACACGCATAACTCTAGAACGGTTGTGTATAAGTTTTATAACATTTGGTTGAGACAAACTAAAGTTAGAGAACGGAAACGAAAAATTCAGCAATTTTTATGTTTATAAAGGGACATAACTCAAGAATGGTAAAAGTGTCGCCACCAAATTTCGTACTTAATCTGTATTATGTAGTAATAAGCATTGTGTATAAGTTTCATAACATATCAGGCATTTGGTTGAGGCAAACTAAAGTTAGAAAACGGAAACAAAAAATTTGTACTTGATCTTAGTTTTGTGGTAATGAATATTGTGTATAGGTTTCATAATGTTTGGTTGGGGCAAACTTAAGTTACAGAATGGAAACTAAAAAATTTTGCAATCTTTCGATTTATAAAGGGGCATAACTCAATAATGGTTAAAGTGATACTACCCAAATTCAACTTGATCTGTGTTTTATCAGTGGAAGTCAAAATTAAACACTGCATTGTATAAAGCATTGATTGTAGTTGATTCAACTATAATCATGGACAAAGGAAGATAACTCCAATTTTAAAAATTACTTAATATTTAGAATAAAATAAAATTTTTGCAATTTTTCCATTTATAAAGCGGCATAACTCTAGAACGGTTAAAGTGACGCCACAAAAATTCAAACTTGATCTGTGTTTTGTGGTAATAAGCATTGTGTATAAGTTTCATAACACTTGGTTAAGGCAAACTAAAGAAAGAGAACGGAAACGAAAAATTCAGCAATTTTTATACGACCGCAAAAAAATTTTTGTGGTCGTATATTGGTATGACGTTGGCGTCGTCGTCGTCGTCGTCGTCGTCGTCGTCCGGCGTCGTCGTCCGAATACACATTAGTTTTCGCACTCTAACTTTAGTTTAAGTGAATGGATCTCATTGAAATTTTACCATAAGGTTCAATACCACATAAGGAAGGTGGGGATTGATTTTGGGGGTTATGGTACTAACAGTTAAGGAATTAGGGGCCAAAAGGGGCCAGAAATAAGCATTTTTGTAACTTCCAGACATAACTTGTGTGTAAGTGTATGGATCTCTCTGACATTGTACCACAAGGTTCCATATCACAAAGGGAATGCTGGGATTGATTTTGGGGGTAATTGTCTCCAAATTTTAGGAATTAGGGGCCAAAAAGGGGCAAAAAACAAGCATTTTTCTAGTTTCATGACAATAACTTGTTTGTAAGTGTATGGATCTTTATGAAATTGTACTACAAGGTTCCATATCACAAAGGGAATACTGGGATTGATTTTTGGGGTAATTTCCTCCAAATATTAGGAATTAGGGGCCAAAAAGGGGCAAAAAACAAGCATTTTTCTAGTTTCATGACAATAACTTGTTTGTAAGTGTATGGATCTTTATGAAATTGTACTACAAGGTTCCATATCACAAAGGGAAGGCTGGGATTGATTTTGGGGGTTTTCCCTCAAAATTTTAGTAATTAGGGGCCATAAAAGGGCAAAAAAAACATGCATTTTTCTAGTTTCAGGACAATAACTTGTGTGTAAGTGTATGGATCTTTATGAAATTGTACTGCAAGGTTCCATATCACAAAGGGAAAGCTGGAATTGAGTTTGGGGGTAATTGCCCTAAACGTTTAGGAATTTGGGGCCAAAAAACAAGCATTTTTCTAGTTTCCAGACAATAACTTGTGTTCAAGTGTATGAATCTCTCTGAAATTGTACTGCAAGGTACCATACCACAAAGGGAAAGCTGGGATTGAGTTTGGGGGCGATG